AAAAAAAAAATCTTTTATAGAGATATTTACCCGTATACACTACAATGACTCATTAGCTTGAGAATATTTCTCTCTTAGTGCTCCCCTGTCTCCCCAGATATTTTCCACATGGGTATCTGTGTTAACTGAAAACTAATTTCTACCTGAAAACGACTATTTTTTACCTTCCAATTTCTATGCAGCAAAACTTAAAAACACAGTAAGATCCAGACACCTTGAACAAGATTTTCAACTTAAGACAACAGTGAAAAATTACAGTGCTCATTTTTTAAGTTCACTGGTAATACTTCCAATGAATGCCCATACTGGATGCTTCAAGAGGCTTCTGCAAGCTTATAGCAGATTTCCTGGGCAGTTAAGTCTTCTCCATCTTTAATACATGCGCTGTCACCAAGTCAACATGAAGATACAGAAAAACTCCAATTTGTCACCACTCAGTTAACCAAATAACTCCATTTCAAAACCAAATCCCTGAATAAAAGCAACGAATACTAACTATGATGCAACAGTTAATGATTTCTCTGCTGAGCTGCTTCTGCAAAATAAATGCTTTTATGTGACGGAATTTTTGAGGTTTCGTTGTCCTTTGTTATTAGGAATGGACAGTAATTAATAATTCAGGAAACTAGAAAAGAGACTCTTCTGACAATAAACAATTCCAGGAATTCAGTATTAGTCGTGCCCAACTTTAAACAAAACTCAAGTCCTTGAATTCTAATAAACTACCAACTAATCCTTACTGTTTGGTGCGTTTATCTGGACAGCAATTGTAACTGTAGTAGCTTACAGCAAATAGTTGCTTTTTAAACATGATTAGCTACTTGACTATCATCAGTGAGCATGAAAGTTTTAAGGTTCGCCACTTAAAACCATGTGAAAACTGCAATGTTTGGGAATTAGGACAACTCGGTAGAACTGTAACATTTTAAGTCCATCAACTACTGTCAAGATACTGAACAAATCACTTCAGCGTGCAGAAAACTAACTTGAGGAAGCTGAAACTGAAAGCAACCCTCAGAATGTAACAGTTAAATGTAATTGTAATCCTAACAAAAAGCAAAGCACAATCGCCTGATTCAGAACCTTGTATGCTCCAGGTACCATAAAGCTGCATTTGTCTCTCATCCCTTGTTTAAACAACAAAAAAAAACCACTAAGGGATTATTTTAGTTACAGGTACACAGTAACATGCAAATATCTTTCTAAACTCCTTTTAAAAAGAAAATAAAAACTCGTATGTACCTCATTAAGGAAGCTGCAGCTATGTGTCTCACTCTTGGATCTTCATCTCCAAGTAGACATATTACAACATTATTAAGCACTCTCTCCTGGAGTTTTAGTAGCTAGAAAATAAGTTAGCGCAGTGAAGCTCATTGAACATTTTCATCATCTGTCCAGATTGTTAAAGGATAGATAACTAGTAAGATTTCATCTGTCATACAAGTCTGTAAGACAATCTTTACCTCGACATTGCCAAGTACACTATTTAAATACATAAATGCCAAAATTTTTTTGAAGAAACCAAAACCACAGCAAAACCACCACACGCACACACACCAGAGAACACTAAGATATTTCAATCTCAGTAGTAAATTAACCTTCCAATTGTAACAAGTCTCAGAACATGAGCCTGCTTATATAAAACATACTTAAAACAATGTTGATGGAACTTAACCATGAAGTGCTGAAATTGCACTGGTATCTTACTCGAGAAACAAAAGATACTAAGTCATCTACTTACACCAGTATAATGATGAACACCTCTGTGCAAGCTCTCAGTTCTTCCTTCCAAGAAGCTGACTAGCCTATGGTAAAATAGAATTCAGAGTACATTAACATTAAAGGTTATTTCTCCCTTTAGTGTTCCGAGGGTTCTTTTTGTTTATTTTTTAAAAACACCACTGCAAGGAAATGCAGGGAGGAAACACTCTTTTGGCTACTTTTAGAAAAATTAAGCTATTTTTCTAAACTACTATCTGGCTAGTGTAACAGAAGAATTACTTATCTTTAGTTAGAAAAATATTATTTACACATTGTGATTGTAATTATATTTTTTTTTCCCCCATGCACATAAAAATCAGACTGCTTTGAAAAGATTATAACACATTCCATATATCACCATTCAGAAAGAGTCCAATTTTGTATGACTAAGGATAACTGGAAGAATTTTCATATTTTCACTTTTTGTCTTTCAGCTCGGACAAACCCTTAGCGAATGAGGGAATGCAAGAAAAGGCAAGTAAAGTCATATTCTTTTCAATATAACAGAAACTGAGCAACAGAAGAGAGCTGACAATAATGAAGAACAAGACACAGACTTTTTCTTTAAAAACACACAAAAGTGGACCTGAAATCCAAGTTAGTTTCCAGATTACATGGTCTCTCTTTGATCACAGATTTACAGAACACTTGATAAAAGAGTGTTCATTGAACTATAAACTCCTACACAGTGTTACTAGGATTAAGCTTGTTAGTAAACAGAATGGTAACTTGACAAAGGAATTTATACATTCCTTATATGAACAATTAGTCTGAATTAGTTTATGAAACTGATAAATATTTCAGAACAAACTGCTCCATTATGGTTCCAGTTGCCTATACACAGCACCTTTGAGCTGCAGCTATAATATCCATGGAAAATATAAATACTTACCGGAAATCCACCTCTGCAAGTGTTTCCAGAAGTTCTGTCCTTACTAGCCAATATGAGCTATTCTTCAGTGTAAGGAGGTCAACAATTAATTGTAAACCTAGTTCACTGTAACTGCTACTACATAAGCTCATGATGCAATTCTGAGAAGAAAAAACAACTTTCAGTTATATTATAGAAGAGGTTCTCTGAATCAAAATATGTAAGCAATCATAAAAATGTTTTATCTAGAATACTATAAAAAGGTATTGCTCAAGAGCTACGAGAAAGTACCAGAGCTAGGTACTCTGCAAGACTAAGACGCTAGCTCCATGTCAACTGCTAAAACCTGCTGCTGAATTTAAACTCCAGAGAGAAGAACAAGCCTCAGAGAACCATCCTCCAAAGAGTAAGGTCTAAAACTCACAGAGCTTAAACGTCACAAGCACTACATTCTTATGTGTTCAAGAAAGTCTCTCCTAGTTTCCACAGGGTACTTTTCGACACCTGTTTCTTATTTCCAGAAGTTTGTGAAAAAGTCATACCTCTTCATTTTAATGACTGTTCAACTGCCTGCAGAATGTGTGATCTTTGGAAGAAGTTATAGAACTCAAGCATTGAAACAGGCTGCCCAGGAAAGTGGTTGAGTCACCATCCGCGGAAGTATTTAAAAGACTTGTAGGTGTGGCACTTAGGGGCATGGTTTAGTGGTGAACTTGGAAATGTTAAGTTTACAGTTGGACTCATCTTAAAGGCCTTTTCAAACCTAAATGATTCTATGACTCTAACTCAACACTTCTATGTCTTATTTAACTACATGAAAATATATTTCCTTGTACAGGGATTAACCACCCAAAATGTTTTCAAACATTTCTGCCGAAAGGTATGAAGTCAGGCTACATTATATACTGAAAGGAAAAAAAAAAAGTGTCAAAATTGACTAGTATAAGTTGCCTGAACTGAACAATTCTAGTGAAGTCTTCTAAAAAGCCATAATCATAAGTATCATCACACATGAAACCACCATATACTAACAATAAGATGGTGGAACAGAAGGTTAAAAAGATTGCATCATTTAACTACCTGGATTTCCCTCCCTCAGACTCAGCATCACAGACTCCTCCCTCTTAGCACATAAAATCACACCTTCCGTATATTAACTGTCTGCACTGTACTAAAACCTATGCTTTGCCTCACTGACCCAGTCAGACACCTTGTGCCTCTCCCCAGTGAATTCATTTCCCTTCATCTCCAATTCATCCTCTTGTTCTACCTTTATTGAAAATTCCTCAGGGAAAAGCTCACTCCTTCACCTCCCTGTGGAAGGTATTCTGTTTTTTCACAGAACACTTTCCACAGATTTTATTGCAGAAATAAGATACATATGCTCCAAGTTCCACTCAAAAGTTCAGCTATCGTCTTTATTTCAAGAATTGCCTGATAGATCTCCCACCCAATTTGAAACACTTTCCCAAGACTTTCTTCACTTTTAAAAACTGTTATTTCATAAAATAATCACTATTTTACTTGTCATTTCTCACATTTAGTTTTTGCTCTCCAAATGCAGGCTACCCTATTTAGGCTAGATATCCTCTCTATCTAATGCACTCATGCTATTGTTGGTTAATGTAACATTACAGCTCATACCTGTACATTTATGACTAGAAATAGCATTATTAGATTATACCGCTATATGATCTAACCAACATAATTGTTTTCCAGCTCTTTGTCCCTCCATTTCTGTGCCTGATTCCATGTTTTCTACAACAAAGTTATCAGGGATGAAGTAATTTTCTCCTCTGTACTTATACCCCTGAGCATAGCAGGATCCTAGTCAACAAATAACACCCCTGTGATCTGTGGTGGTGCAAATAAATTATTACTTCTGCTTACCCTCACAGCTGTGCAAGCCAGTTTGCACGTAACAGAGGACTCATCTTTCAGCGTTTTCTGTAACAGAGGTATGCAGTCTGCCAAGGAAAAGAGGTTTCCTAACAAAAAAAAAGTATTAGAGCAATGAAACAAAAGAAAATTTTGGTTACATTAGAAAAAAACCCCAAAACCTTCTTAAATAAACTGTTACCTGTTGAGCTTCTGACATTTATTAGCCATTTTTCCACATCAAAGCGCGATTTAATTAGAATGGAGTTGACAATTGTTCCGCACAGAATGGCAGTAGCTCCTCTAATCTGGGGATCTCCATGGTCAATGTAGTTCAGAATATCTGATACATACTGCTCCTCTAAGAAAATAAGTTACAACTACTTTATTTTAAAAATACTAATCTTAGACTTAACTGATCCCTAAAAATGTACCAATTATTGTGCAATCAATGTCAGCATATTAACAATACATCCACCTTAGTTCTACCTTTCAGAGGTCCCTTGCATATAGTACACAGATCATTCACACCATTCAGACCAATGATCACATATAAAAACACTAGTGATTTATTTCAAATGTACTCAGAATGCTCTGGGGAAATCTAAGAAGAGTTTCAGTCAACACTTGACCTTTGCCACTATCAGTATCAAATATTCCAGGTCCCTGCTGATCGTATCGTAGCATTCATAAAAATGAACCTAATGGCTTAGTAACCATCTATAAGCCTGAAGAAACCATTTATAAGACAAACCACTTCTACATAGCAGTTGTGCTAAAAGTTTCAACTTGTTAGAAGCTGCACAAGTTCATCCACTTAAATTTAACTGTATTACAAAATAAAAATCTCACCACACACGCTACTAGTGTGGACAGCATGTTCATTCAAATCGGTGCAATATTTGTTTGCCAATACTAAACTGGACTTGAAGTTTTCAGTAGAGCTGCTGCCTCACTTATTTGAAAACCCAAACACACTATTAAAACGGAGTATGTGAACTGCAACATACCATACTCTTCTCCCATTGCTTCAAGGGGTGTTTTATACAGTTTGCTGAAGAAAGACTCGGGGTGAAGGGCAACGGCTGCTCCTACACAACTTACTGCCAGGGCTTTTACACTGACTCGCACATCTCTATCAGGAACTAAAGCTGGGGAGAAGGGAAAAAAAAAAAAAAGTGGGCGGTATTTGAAAGCATCCTGAATTGTTTTTAACTTGACTAATAACTGTGTTATATAAATAGCTTAGCGTAGACAAAAATATGAAGAAAGACTAAGTAGTTCCAGTGTATCTGAGGCAGCAGTTATATTCATCGGGTAAATAAACGGGTAAATAAACGGGTAACTAAACGGGTAACTAAACGGGTAACTAAACGGGTAACTAAACGGGTAACTAAACGGGTAACTAAACGGGTAACTAAACGGGTAACTAAACGGGTAACTAAACGGGTAACTAAACGGGTAACTAAACGGGTAACTAAACGGGTAACTAAACGGGTAACTAAACGGGTAACTAAACGGGTAACTAAACGGGTAACTAAACGGGTAACTAAACGGGTAACTAAACGGGTAACTAAACGGGTAACTAAACGGGTAACTAAACGGGTAACTAAACGGGTAACTAAACGGGTAACTAAACGGGTAACTAAACGGGTAACTAAACGGGTAACTAAACGGGTAACTAAACGGGTAAATAAATGGGTAAATACTCCACACACTTCCAACTCACTTGTTTCATTGCTGAGAATACAGTTACTACACTGTCTTTTGAAGAACACTTCATTAGCAGAACACATGAACAAATAACAGTTTAGAAAAGGGCAAAAGTACAAACATCTTAAATGCTCACCTCAGCCATACACAATGATACACATGCTTGTAACACGGACTTCCCAGTGAAAAAAACAGAAGCAGCAGTGTATGCCATAAAAGCTTTCTGCAAAATACCTACTGACATCTTATTACTATGCTGAAAAGGCAAATAACTCCTCTTTTGAGCCCCAACGGCCTCCTCTAACAATCACTTACTGTCAGAAAGCTCCTCTTTGACTGTCACACATGAAAAAACAAATGAAAAATGGCCACGCTAACTTATGCAAATGCTCTAAGATGTTAAAAGTGGAGAGAAAAGTTCAACGTGAGGCTTCAGCTAGGTCTTTGAAAAGCTTAAGTCAATTCTCTGTTTTACTATGGCTGAATCATTTATAACCTGAAGTTACATTTCCCAAACACAAACGAGTACAACAGCACTTCTACCGTAAGCACATTCAGAAAAATTCACACAATTCAAACACGACGGAGCGATAAAGCTGAGAGATACTTTTAATCTTGTTATAATTAAAATAAATTAAGCATTATGAACAAAATCGATTGTAAAAATATTAAGACAAGTACTTGAAGGAACTATATTCTTCTGAACTTGTTTTTAGGAGTTTCTACACAACGGACTGCAACTGAGAAGATTGTTTCCTTAGCTTTTACTGAGCCACTGATAATTTTATAATGGACAAACAGGGCACTCAACAGTAATAAAAAGAAATACTAATATTAGATTGTCTTCACAGCTTCATACAATCTATAAACTGTCATGGCCCCTCAACTTTTCTCATAATAATTTGAAAATTGTAAATGTAATTAAGCATTTGAGTTCAGGATTAAGTTATCCTAACACTTCTTTAGATGTACAATAGTTCAAAATCTGATTCACTGTAAAATGGCACAAATTTTTCAGTGTTTTAAGTTTTTCTGCACCCTGGTGTGGTCGTTTAAATCAGGACAGTCACAGAAAAAAAATAAACACAACAAAATCTCCAATAAAGTGAGATTAAAAATCAGACAGAGTAAATTATCACACTTCCAACTTTGTACATTGAGAAACACAATGAACCAACGAGTCTTGAACAGAAACTTACCTCCTTTCTCCCCAGTAAGCAGAAAAGAGGCTGACAGAAGTCTAACGCAGTGCACTAAAGGAGCAGAATTTCCATCGGTGTAGTGACCTATGTCTCCCTTTATCCTGGAGGGCTATTGAAGGCAAATCACAATTTTTATATGGATAAAAATTAATCTTCAGCTTACATAAAATATTAAGCACAACAAGATTTAGAATACTGTATAGCCTCAAATGCATAAAGGTTGTAATACAAAATGTGTTTAAAGCACATTCAAAAAAAAGGCCTTAAAATCTAATGCTTTCAGGAAGTTTGCAGACAGTACCAGAATTGGTTTAATTTAATCACAGAAACAACAATCATTCTGTAGATTTTCCAAATTACCCAGGCCTGCTGTTTGCATCTGAAGGAGTCTGATAAACCATTTTTTGTCACCAAGCAATGATCTTTGGAAACTTTGTATGAGAAGCAATCAATTCCTAAGTTGTTTCCAAAGAAGGCTGACAACCTTTAGTTTCACATTTAGAGTTCCCAGTAACCCAAGCTGATCTGACTCGTCCTGCCACAAACCAAACTCCTTTTGCCTCAGCACAGAACACGGTCCAAAGCTGAAGTGAGAAAACTGTAAAAGGAAATCAGTAGCCTGTGGTTCGAACGGCATGAGCCTCTCTGCAGAAAGAGAGGCTCAAAGAGCAAGACGTAATAATTTCCAAGGAGATCATAAAGTTACCTACACAGCTAGCAACCAGCACAAAGATATTTCAGGTAATGAAGTATCAGTGTACCCTACTAATGCACAGACAAAAGAGGTCTGTATTCTCAACAGTTTGTGTTCTGTTACAGTTTTGCTGGTGATTGTGTTCAAGATATCAACACTTATATACTCAACTGTAGATTCAGATTGGATATTAGAAAAAAATTTTTTACCATGAGAGTTGTAGAACACTGGAACAGGTTGCCCAGAGAGGTGGTGGATGCTCCATCCCTGGAGACGTTCAAGGCCAGGTTGGATGAGGCCCTGAGCAACCTGATCTAGTTGGAGATATCCCTGTTCCTTGCAGGGGGGTTGGACTAGATGACCTTTGAAGGTCCCTTCCAGCCCTAACCATTCTATGATTCTATGATTCTAACTTACATTAAATGAAATTCAGGCTATAACTCAGATTTACTATTAACCTCAGTTATTTTGACTTACAATGAAGTACACCACACATACAGGCTACGCATGTTTACCACTAATCTACACGATCATAACTGTAATTTTTTTTTTTTTAACTTAGTTGTTTTAAACTTTAAACCAGATCACTGTAACTAGTTCTTACCTTATTTTCATGATCACCAGGATCTGCTGCATCTTCTTTCGATGTAAATCTATCCACGCTGCTGTCAGAAGGCTGCCTACTATGGCTCGTGGTTTTCAACAGGTGAGGCTGTTGAAGAGCTTTAGAAAGAGGCAACTCATGAAATACCATTTCAGATGCAAATTAAGAGCACTTTAATTGAATTTAATTATACAAACATGAAAAATAAATTAGCAGTGATCAAAACAAGTGATTCATTAGAAGTGTTGAAATATATTCCTTATTTTACATTTCAATCTAGTTATTTCTTTTTCATATCCACTATGTGACTCTTCAGTCCCTTGGAACTGAAGTTAGACAACAGATGCACCTGTAACATGTGCCTTAAAGGTGTCACCAGTTCTGTTCTCCCCACCCCATTTATCAACATACCAATAGAAGAATTTCTGAAAGACTCCGACGAATCATCTTGGAGAATATTTGCAGCCTCATCTTCCTCATCCTGCAGCTGCCCAATTTGCATTCCCGAATACTGTCCTTCAGCACCCTCCAAAACCTACAAAGCACAAGACAGGACTTAAAATAAGTTAGCTTAACACACAGTATTAAATAGCAAACATGCAGTGTTAGTAGTCTAGAAATAATTTGAAAGCAAATATGAGCTTGATTAGCATACAGCTGCATGCAGGACCCAAAGCAGTTCCCCTCCTCCTCCAGCAGTTGGGCTATTAGAGGCCATAGTTACATCTGACAGTCTCCCACTTGAGCCATGAGCTTGGATATTAACAGCAGGGAAGTCGAACACTTGGCGCATTGCCTCCCCTGCAGCTCTCCTTGCTCCTTTATTCCAAACACAACTGTCCCTCTATCGCAGCAGTTACAAATCACAACCAAACACCTTTACTGTCCCATATCGAACTTGTCCCTTGTTGTCAAACTCTCCCATAACCTCACTTGTTCTGGATGTGAGAAGTCAAACTGAAAATACACTATGTAGGACAAAAAAGGACAAAAAAAGTTTGAATGTATTTTAATTCTCTCATTCTAAACCAGAGACTACTAAAAGGGACTTTTCTAGAAGAAAGTTTGACTCTTGGTACCAATGCAATATATAGACAGTAGGCATATGGAAAAATATCCATAAAAGAAAAAAAATTGATAATGATAATAAAAGTAAACAAAAGCATTTCATTGTAAGTTTATCAGAAGACATAAGATACTTTTTCAATGACTCCCCTTCATAAGCCCCTGGAAATTGTTCAGTAAAAAGCCCATGTGTGGGTAAGTGCGACAAGCACTTTGTCAATCAGGAAAAAATAAGTTCACTTGAAATTACTGCTTGTGAACAGTATGCAAACTGACATATGAACAGCCTGACAAGAATTTGCAAGAAATGTATCTTGTCAATAAACAGAACTTGTCAATAAATGCCTGCTCACTTTGAGCTCTGCACTGTCTACATTTAATTCAGAGACAGTGCAATTATCACTCCTTTGGTTCTTGAATCCTCGCATTTGCAGAAGTATTTGCTTATCATAATTGTAAATATATATATTTTTTTTTGTAGTGGTAAGAGACTATTACTTTTCCAAAGTTACTATCAAACTTTTGACTAAAGTTTGATAGTGTTAGAATTTAAGTTCTTTTTTTCAAAGTTTTCTCATTTTTGCATTTTCTGCTCTTGCTCCCAGTAACTGTACTTTTGCTGGTTTTATTACAACATAATACACTTGCCTAAGAGAGCGAGATTTCTTAAAACAGCCATATTGTGTACACATTCCAGGTGTTTACTAGATATGTAACTGTCACATTAGTAAATCATGCAGTATTTCCTCAGTATAGGAGAAATCATTAAGATGGAATAAAAGGGAAAAAAATTAGTTGCACTGTCAAGTGAAAAAGCACAGGCAGAAGACAATGTGAAGCGTTAGGTTTCAAAAGTATTCCTCTATTATTCCAAATAGACTGTTCGCCCTTTAACACTTCCATTAGTCCTTCGGCACCAAAGCAATTATTAATACATCTATACAAAATGAAGGATATGCTACTGAGACAACACATTTATATCAAGCCTTTGACATTGACGTTTTTCCAGTGAGTGACAATCTGTTAATGCCTTCGTATGGCCTACGCTGTGAAAACACTGATTACAGCTTTGTAGTTTTTAATTACTGCTGAAGTGAAAGTGTTAAAAGGAGGTCAAGCTCTCCAATAGAGGTGTGAGCTGCTGACCTTTCCATTGTTACTAGCTGAGGATGGAAAAGTAGAAGACGAGTAAGTAGATGAATCCAAGTCTGGGCCCTCCATGGAAGAGCTCTGAGATATGTCGGGCCCCTCAGTAGAAGCGGATCCCCCCTCTGCCCGTTGCACACTTACAATTTCAGAACTGTCCGAAGGGGTTACAGCAGAGTCTGGACCTTCTGTAGTAGTCTGAGAGCTATCACTAATTGGTGAGGAAGCCTGTGTACCATCATTCAAGTCCATAGTGGGGTCTGACTGGACAGCACTGATCTGGCTGGAGCTTCGACTAAGCACATCATCTTCTTCCCCTTCAGTAGCTGTACTTGTCAAATCACAACCTGCCAGGTCTACAGAGTCTGACTGCAACGTATGCTGAGAACGTGGCTGCTCAGTAATGATATCATGTCCGGTAGGATCAGCAGCTGAACTCCCTACTGACCCAGCTGTTGATACACCTGATGAAGTCAGTTCACTGGTTATCTCGCCCTTCATAGAAGCTGCAAAACACAGACATTTACGAGTCAATCAATTGTTTAAACTTGTGTTTCACTCTTGGTATGGACATCACATACTAAAGCCACATATTTAACTAGGCTAATGAAAGCGTATAACTAAACAGTTAAACTACAGGTAGGGAAATAAGCATCTGTAAGATGCTGTTGTATCTTTACCAGTAGCTCAATATGACAGCCCTTCCATTACAAAAAAAAAAATGCAGTCAACTTCATTAGGTAAGTACAAGCTTTATACCCATGAGAATTTATGGTTTCAGTTTTGTTAGCACATCTTTTGAGTGTCCATCTGCTCCCTACTTATCATAACACATCATTTATATTTTACATAGTGATAAAAAAGTGCATTTGTAACAGAGTAACACAGGTTGACTGCACTACTAAAGGGAAAGCCAGCTACCTGCAAACGATGCAGCACTGACATCCGATCGGGTTTCAGGATCATCCTCCAAACCTTCTTCTTCACCAAGAAGTATTTTACCTGAGAAGCAATATAAGAAAAACTTTTACAGTTTTCCAAAACTACAGTCAACTTGAAATGCTGAACAACTGAAGTCAGTAGACGCGAAATCTACTTTTAAAAGTTTATCTACATAACTTTTCAAAGCTACGAAACGCAATAGATGGAAAAGAGAAAGGAATGAAGAAAGTGAATATCCAATCCATCACTATCTGATCAGGAGAGAAACAGACAGCAGTGACAAGGAAACACAAAGTTAAGTAATTTTATTTAACGGTGTAACCATTCAGGAAATGACCTATGACTTTATTCATCCTACTTTATTTTTGTGGACTATTATTAAGATCCCACTAATTTTGTCAAGTATGTCCTATTAACTAAGGACTTGCTACCTGGCATCTGGAAGTCTGCCCTCAACTCAGAAGGACATTAAAGCACAAGTAATAGAATAAATAACCTCTCCCTCCTTAAGGCTACAAAAATTATCAAAGGCTACTTGCAGTTTGGGGCTTGGAACTCCAACGATAACAGAATGGAAAACGCCTAGGAGGAAGAGCAGCACAGACTAAAAGCACAAGACAACAGAAGTGGCACAGGGTGATGAAGCACGGACAACAGTCATTAGGATTCAGAGACTACCAAGGCAAAAATCTTCAGAGACACTTTTGCCATAGGAAAAATGAAAGTCACTTATAACCTAACACAATCACCATAGAGTTATCTTACTCACAGAGTAATGTCTATTTAAAACAGAGGCAGTGGAAAGAGAAAGATATCTGCAGACGCACACTGCCTGGGAGCAGACCAAGGACACAATTGCACTGAAAAGTCTGTAAATGGGACAGGACAGAGTGCAGAGGGAGCTACTGAGCCCATTCTTCTGGATCTTGCAAGTCCCTTGCTGAGACAGAGGGACTCATGATACCTGCTTTGAGATAAGTCTCTTTTGCCATTTATAATAAGCTTCACTGGTAGTCTAAGATTCACCGTGCAAGATGCGAGTGTTTTGATAACTCTAGGTGAATTCTTCTGCCTCTCATTTAAGTTACCAGAGGGAAAAAAAAAAAGCATTAACACACTTTTGTATTAATTTCTAATCACAATTGCTTTCATACATAGCAGTAACACTGTAGAATTGGCTTCCTATGAAAAGTATGTTTATGATATTCAAACCTGAAAGGAGAAAAGTTACCATAACATTTCCATGTATGTTTTATGTAAAATAAGAGAAATTAATTGAGAATCACACATTCCTGTAAAAGAATGAGTAAAATCCTGCAGAGTTCCCAACAACAAGAATGAAAGATAGTATATTCTTTTCTATTCTTTCTCACATTTACATCCATTTCACTGAAACAAACCAGGATATTCTTCTGCTTTCCACAGCTGATCACCTTTAGAACTAAGTGAAAGAGGAAGGACACTGAAAAACAATTAGGCATATTAGGCTTTGTATGTTTAAATGAGTATATAAAACAAGCTGCAGGATACTTTTCCAGTCAGTTAAGATGGAGAACATAGGCTTTCATTTCAAAATGAATTTTCAACCTTTTTTGCAAATAATTTTCTGAAACTGAAACATAAACAAACCAACACAGCCCAGCTGCTCAAAACTAAAGTTGGTCTGAAGCAGTAAGACTGAAAAGATATGCAATATCCCAGTTCTGCGGTTAGGGTCACAGATTTCTGTAGACCACCCTCACTTTACACCACCCCTACACACAGAAAGGAGTATTACAGCTATAGAGGTTTCACCCACGGCCAACAGCAGGAGCCTACGACTATCTGGTAGCAGACTGAAAAACGACGTCAAGTAGGAACTGGGAATAGGCTTGATTTTTCCACCTTTTCTACAATGGAGAGCAGCAGAAAAAGAACTACTCACAACTGGAAACTAAACCTGTACAAAACACAAAATTGTGAACAGATTTCTTCAAATTCGTTTATGCCATTTTTTAGACCACAAAATCTTCATATCATGATTTTGGAAGAGGACAGAAGCTGATGACTCAATAGATGTTTTCCAACTGAGTGAAGGAAAGGTTAGTGTTTTAACAAACACTTGTTTTGATAAGAGGGCTGGAGCACCTTTCCTATGAGGACAGGCTGAAAGAGTTGGGGCTGTTCAGCCTGGAGAAGAGGAGGCTCCGGGGTGACCTTATCGCGGTCTTCCAGTACCTCAAGGGGGCCTACAGGAAAGATGGGGAGAGGCTGTTCAGGAGGGCCAGTTATGATAGGACAAGGGGTAATGGTTTTAAAATAGAGGGAGGTAGGTTCAGGTTGGATATTAGGAAAAAAATTTTTTACTATGAGAGTGGTAGAACACTGGAACAGGTTGCCCAGAGAGGTGGTGGATGCTCCATCCCTGGAGACGTTCAAGGCCAGATTGGACAAGGCCCTGAGCAACCTGATCTAGTTGGAGATATCCCTGTTCCTTGCAGGGGGGTTGGACTAGATGACCTTTGAAGGCCCCTTCCAGCCCTAACCATTCTATGATTCTATGATTCTATAACAAGTACTGTAATTAAACTTACACTGTTATGATACTTTGAAGTTATCCTGAAGACTACTAACAATTCAAAGCATCAAAATGATGATTTACCATTTAAAAGTGTTATGCATTGTTATTCTGATTTGTTGCATTCCATTTTGGCTGCAGATGCTGAAGCAATATCCACTTTCAGAA